GTCATGCTCTGCTTACAGGTCATGTGCACCGTGTCAGCTGGTGGGGTGTGGAGTTGCCGGCCCATGCTTCTTGGAAAGCACCCGAAAGTGACGCAGCATGGAAATAGGGTTTGAAGTCCACCCGGTCTCACTGGTCTCCAATCCGTGCCCCTCAGAACGCCTCTGTCCCGCACAACAGCTTCCTGGACCTCTCAGGAATTAGGAATGGAGGGCAGCCCTTGTGTCAGTAAGAGCACCCCACTCTTCTGCGTTTTACATATCGATGGGCAGCGTACGGTCACATTTGGAAAAGGGTTCTGCTGCTTATAAGAGGCTGGAAAACCCATCCAACCACCTGAGCAGTGGAGCCCAGGAAAGGGGAGGTGACTGTCCCAAGGTCACCGAGCATGGAGCCAAGGGTGAACTGCCCAGCTCAGGCCTGGGCCAGGCCACTCTGTATTTTGGTGGGCTTTGCGGGGAGGAAACGGGTCCTCACATGTTGGCAAATTGACAGTCGCCTAGTCTGGGCACCAGTTTAAAAACCACGCTCGGGGCCTTCTTCCTGGAGGCCGCAACTGTAAGGGGATCCATTTGTGTGGTTTCCCCTACCCGGAGGCCCACAGTCAGGCAGGATGAGTTTCACTCAGATTCCTGCATCAGCTCAGGTCTTGTTCTAAAGCTTTTGTAAATCCCCTGGGAATAGAAAGACTCCTGGACACATGCAACTTTTCTCCTTTGTGTGAAACCCCTCTCTGGTAGGACAGTAGCGTCCCTCTGTGCCTCGGAGCCGTGGGGCTGTGCACAGGCGTTTGTGGCTAAATCTGACAAGAGAATGCAAGAGAAGGCAGGATGGTTTTTCTCGTGGTCAAAGTTGTTGATACATTTTTTTTAAAATTTTTATTTATTTATTTATTTTGGCTGTGTTGGGTCTTCATTGCTGCGCACGGGCTTTTTCTCTAGTTGTGGTGAGCGGGGGCTACTCTTCGTTGTGGTGCGCAGGCTTCTCATTGTGGTAGCTTCTCGTTGCGGAGCACGGGCTCTAGGCGTGAGGGCTTCAGTAGTTGTGGCACGCAGGCTCAGTAGTGAATCGCGGGCTCTAGAGCGCAGGCTCAGTAGTCGTGGCGCACAGGCTTAGTTGCTCTGCGGCATGTGGGATCTTCCCGGGCCAGGGCTCGAACCCGTGTTCCCTGCATTGGCAGGCGGATTCTTAACCACTGCGCCACCAGGGAAGCCCTTGATACAGTTTTTTAAAAATAACTTCGGTTTGATCATAATAAGTAATATGATCATTGTAGAACATTTGCCAGTACAGAAAGAGGTAAAGAATAAATATCCCATAACTCCATCACTCGTAGTAAAATGTCAGAGTTGTTCCTTCCCACCTTTTAAAAATTAGCTTATATTAGAACCTGGTGTCACAGACTGGCCGTGTGACCTTGAGTAAATTCTTAATTGCTTTTGGCCTCGGTTCTCACGTCTGTAAAATGGGGATAATCTTTACCTTCAAGGGCAGTTGAGGGTTGAGAGAGCTGGATGGCAAGAGCACCGGACAGAGTGCGTGCCACATAGTAGGTGCTCAGTAAATGGCACACCCGCCCGCTTGAGAGCATATAGTGTATATGGTTACATATCCGGTATTTTTAACTTGTCAACAGCATTATCCTAGGTCTGAAAGCCTTTTAAAAACATTTTTTCAAGACTCGTATTCCATCATTGGGGTGTACCATAATTTATTTAAGAATTCCCTTATTCCATTATCATGAAGTGTTTAGGTTGCCCCCAGACTAAGGCTGGTTTCCCATGGCCAATTAGAATAATAACAATTATCATAATTAAGAACACCCTAAATAGCCCCATCATAAGGAGCCGAAACAAATTAGGTTTTTGAACTGCAGCTTGGGGATGGCTGAGGCTGTAACAGAGAATGGGTGCATTGGCACGGCCACTGCGTGCGCATGGTTGCTGCGTTCCAGGGGAACATCAGTGGGTGTTCTGGGCATTGCGCCAAGTGTGCCCCAGGCACCTGGAGCAGAAGGTGCCCCTCTCTTTCGGCGTGTGTGTTTTAGACCCTCTGGGATATTAGGCATTTGATGAGCTGCAGCCCCAGCTTTGGGTCAGCCCCAGCTCTGCCCTCAGGGAGTTCCTGTTCTGGGGGGTGGTGAGAGGGGGGACAGATACTGAAACCAATAAATGCAGTATGTTTGGATAAATGGAGAATGCAGTGAGGACGCACAGGAGGATGGGGTCAGCACTTTCTGTTAAAGGTGTGGCTCAGAGCGGGGTGCTGTGGCTGAGTCTCGAAGGATGGGCTTGTTTGCTGGGGGCTTAGGTGCAGAGAGGATGGAAGTCTGGACATGGGCACCAGCAGGATCAATGTCTGGGAGGTGGGAAATGGCTCCAAATGTTCTGGCACTTGCTAGAATTTGATGCATGTGGACCAAAGGTGGAGGCCTTGGTATTAGTGGGGACAGTGGCCGGTCGTGGAGGGACCGTGTGCTGTGTCTTTCTCATCTCTGGGTCTCTAGTACCCTGACAGAGCCTGGACCGTCGTGTGCCTGCGGTCTGTAGGCCGAACACATTCATGAAGAGCTTAGCTGAAGTTCTCGAGTGTAGTTCTCAGGCTGTTTGGCAGAGTTATCCGAGTTGGTTCATCTGGGGGTGTGTGGACATGCTGGAACATACCACGTGCGCTGGTACATGGGAGGCCCTTGCTGCCCAAGAGATGAGTGACACCTGCCAGGAGGTGCCAGGGGGAAAGTCTGGGCTCAGGAGTAATTGGCCCTGAAACCAGTCCTGTGATTTGTACCTGGATGTGGGTCCAGAGACCTCTAGTTGCAGGCGCTGAGCTAATAAGCTCACCAGCCATCTCGAGGGCATCCCGGGTCTAATCCTCCATGGGGGATGTGTGCTTCTGTTGGAGTGGTTGGCCCTGGCCCCCCTATGTGTGCTCAGAGTTATTGCAGGCCTGACTCATCGCCTGAGTTCTCAGGCCGGGTAGCTCAGTGCCGCCCTGGGCCGCCACTCCTCACCTAGACTTGAGGGGTGGGAGGTGCTGGGTTGGAGGGGAGCAGGGAAAGGGAGGGAGGCCAAGATTGGCTGATATCGGCTGTGTGCCTGGAGCTGTTCTGGGTGCTTTATACACACCTATCCATCTGAATCCTCTAGAAAAGCACTTAGAATAGAGGTTGATATGTCCACTTCCAAGCGAAATCGGGCTTGGAGGGCTTAGGTACCTTCACCAGGTGACACAGTGAGTAGAGTGCAGTGAGTATGCGGCATGTGGACGCCACAGCCCGTGCCTCTTCCCTGTCACCTGCTGCTCCAGCTCTGCCTTCCTTGTGGGGCAGGTGGTCTCGGCCTTCTCACTGAAACCCTGCTGGAGTGCAGTCTCAGGGACAGCAGCGAAAGTCCAGGCAGGGTCCCAGCCTCATTAGTGGCCATGTAAGTGAGTCACCAAAACCACCGGGGCCTCGGTTTTCTCGTCTGCAAAACAGGGACAAAATTCAGTGTCTGTACTTAAGGGGATTGTGTGGGAATCAGAGCAGATGATGTGACTGGGAACCCTGTTGGCACCAGGGCCCTATGTGGACGTAACAGCTGAGGGTGCTCACAGCTTGAGATGCAGGCTCCTCTCTCCCTTCCTCCCCTCCCCCCACCGCTTTCCCTTTTCTCCCTCCCCCCTGTCTAAGTAAGTGGGGTGCAGAGAGGCTGAGAGGCTAGAGAGGGCTTAAGCATCCATAGGATTTTAATGTTTATCTAGGGCGGAGCCCAAGGTAGAGCTCATGCTGAGCTTTCCTCGCTAAGAAAATGAGCATTAGAGCCAGTTGATCTGGGTTTGCACTCTGTGCTACCACTTACCAGTGTATGTGTGACCTTCAATAAGACCTTGACTTCTTTGTTTTCCTGTCCATAAAGTGGGAGAAATACCGCCTTGTCAGTCTGTTTGGCCCCTTTCCTCTCTCACCCTAGGAGCTTCCACAGACCCCCTTTCTTCTTCAAACAGCTGCAGGCACATAGAATCTTCATCTGCCTCCATTCAGTCGTGCTTTGAGCTAATCCATGTATAACACGTGCTACATGACACGGCCTGTGCTGGGGCTGGCGAGGTGGCTGTGGACAAGGCCAACTCGCTGGGTGTCTGCCTTCTGAGGGGGCAGAAAGACAGGGACCGCCATATGTGTATGTGGGTGTTAGAATTCTGGTCGGGGCCGTGGAGGAGACGTTCATGTGACGGATGGCCTGGGAAAACCCTGAGTGATGCAACTGGGCGGGAGTGACTGGGAGAAGAATGTCTTGGGAGATGGGTGTAAAGTCTTTGGACCTGACCGCTGGTCAGCAAGGTCCAGGCCCAGAGAGTGGGGTGCAGAGAGGCCAGAGAGGGAGGGCTTCAGCACCCATAGGATTTTAATGTCTATCAAGGGTCTGCCCTCTGTGGTTAATGGTGCAGGAAACCAGGGCAGCCTGGAGACCTGGACAGAGCTAGGACCCACCCATGCTTAGAGTCGCAGCTCTGGCTGTCCTTGAGCCCCTGGTCCTTTCTGAGAGATAGGTTTTTTTTCATCTGTAACATAGCAGGTGTTAATATGTGTCTCACAAACAAACCTGCTTTGGAAACCTGTGTGGTGTCCTCACAAAGGTATAAGGGGTCATGATGGCCTCAGTCCACAAAGGATTGGGGTGACTCATGAAAATACATATAGTATAAGAGGATACACTTAGTAGTTGGGCCAGAGAGAAATTATTGGTAAAAGAACAGAAGCAGGGCTGATGATTAGCACCCAGAATTCACCCACTGTGTCTTCCTGGACATTTGCAGAGGTAAGGAGGCTGCTTGATTGACTCCGAATTCTTCCTGGCTGCCTGAGCAAAGAGACAAGATTAGGTACTTGGTTCACGATGCCCTTAAGGTATTAGGGAAAAAAGTGACTGCGGAAAAGCACAATTTTTTTCCCTCCCGCACTGAGACTGACTCTGGCAGGGCCACCGTGTGCGTCGATAACTGCGTGTCTGTCTTGTTTCAGGTCTCCTGGAAGCGCTGGGCAATGAACCTGAGACTGCAGCCCAGTGTGGTCTGAAGCCGTTGGGGAGAACAGAGGGAGTCCTGGGGAAGATGGCCATGGCCCCAAGCCCTTCCCTGGCTCAGGTGTACACCAGCCCGGTGGCAGTGGCCGTGTGGGAATGGCAGGATGGGCTGGGCACCTGGCACCCCTACAGTGCCACTGTTTGCAACTACATCGAGCAGCAGTTTGTCCAGCAGAAGGGCCAGCGCTTCGGGCTGGGGAGCCTGGCCCACAGCATCCCCTTAGGCCAGGCTGACCCCTCACTGGCTCCTTATATCATCGACCTCCCCAGCTGGACGCAGTTCCGCCAGGACACTGGTAAGGCACTTCCTGCCTCGAGTATGTGTCCAAGTGCCTGTTTCGGGCTGGGCGTCGTGCTAGGTGTTGGGGGTCACAGAATTGACTCTCAATGTTATCCTGCCCCTGAAATGCACACAGTCAGAAGGCGGGTGCTGGGAGTGATAGCAGTGTGAGATGTTCCTTAGTGGTACGGGGTGCCTTGGGAACACAGTGCACAGGCCGTTCCAGCCCCTTTCCCCCTTGTCTCCCAAATCAGAAATGCCTGCTTCTGCCCACAGAGATTCGAGGGTCTCGCTGGCAGCAGGCAGGCAAGCAGGCCGGCCGGCATGGGGGTGGCACATCATGCTAGTTCAGAGGGCCCGGTGATGGGTTCCAGCTCCTGTATGACAGCTGTGTCACATGGGCAAGTTACCTCACTCTCCTGTGCACTCATGTTTCTTTCGTGTGTGTGTGTGTGTGTGTGTCTTTTGCTCAGCATTACTGAGAATGGGGCCGCCAACTTCTTCCCAGAGCTGTGCACTATCCCTGTAAATCAGTGGTTTTCAGCTGGGGGCAGTGTTTGGAGACATTTTTGATGGTCAGGACTGTGGGGTGGGGCACTACCAGCATCTAGTGGGTAGAGGCCAGGGATGCTGCTAAACATCCTACAATGTACAGAATAGCCCCACAACAAAGAATTATTAGCCCAGAATGTCACTAGTGCCGAGCCTGAAGACTCCTGCTCTAATCCCTGTAGCAGCCTCCTCGAGGGTGTGAGGACTCAGGCTTCCAGGCAGTGGATGCAGATAAAAGTCCCTGCCTTCATGATGTTTGCAGTCACTGAGAAAGGCAGCGCACACAAGATAAATGATTCGTGAACTGTGTATGAGTTAGGTAGCAACGAATGTTTATCAGGGAATGGATGTGTAAAGCGCAGGGAGAGGTCGTTTTGAAGTTTGAGCTTGGGTGGCCTGGTCACCAGGAAGGGCTGGGGACAGATAAGGAGGGAGGGGCAGGTCGTTCAGGGCTTTTCCATCCCTTGGGGGACTTCGACTTTTCTTCTGAAAGGAGGAACCCTGGGAAGATTTGGGCAGAGGAGTGACGTAATCTGATTTGGGGGTTAAGAGTATCCCACTGGCTGCTGAGGTCGGGAGACCAGGTAGAAGGTAGTCGCAGTGATCACCTTTTGACAAGTACTGTTGAAGCATGGCCCAAATTGACTTTTTTCTTTCTCTCCTGAATCGTCAGGTTTGGTTTATTAATATAAGCTAACCACAGGTGTTTCCTAATAGCTGCTACCTGGGAAGTCCAAAGGAATCTAAGTACATCCATGTAAGAGAACTGTGTAACAGTTAATAAAGAGTTTTACAAAGTTTTAGAGACATAATAAATACTTATGGCATAATACATGAAAACAGGAAAATTTTTCAGAATGATTGTCAGCTACACCTAAACATACATGCCTAGGAGACTAGACGGGAAGGAATATGTTACAATATACAATCTACGTCGTGTGCTTTCCTCTTGGTGGTTGGATTATGGATGATTTAATTTTCTTCAGACATTTTGTTTTCAGTTTTTTAAGTCAGGCTACATAGGTTTCATCCTTAGGACTATTTTGAGCCACAGCTGGTCTTTGACCTAAGCATCCAGCATCCCTCACTCCTGCTGAGAAGCGCCGGTCCCTCTCTGCCACTTGATCCCTTTGATCCATGGTTTCTTTGCATAGAGAGAGCTCTCTACCCTTCACCCCAAATTTGGAGAGAATAGTCAATGCCAGCCTTTAGGTCAGACAGCAGCATGACCATATATACACCGTGATCGTGTTGTTTTATTTTGGTTGTAGGAAAAAAAGAATTTTTAAACTCCCTTTTTTTTGGGAGGTGGTGAGTGGCTAGCAGATGAACTTTATATGTGCAATGCTCCTTTTAAAACAGGCACCATGCGGGCTGTGAGGAGGCACCTGTTTCCCCAGCACTCGGCCCCGGGCCGGGGCATCGTCTGGGAGTGGCTGAGTGACGACGGCTCCTGGACGGCATATGAAGCCAGCGTCTGCGACTACCTGGAGCAGCAGGTGGCCAGGGGCGCCCAGCTCGTGGACTTGGCTGCCCTGGGGTACAACTACACCGTCAACTGTGCCACCAACACGCAGACCAACAAGACTTCCAGCTTCTGCCGGAGTGTGCGGCGCCAGGCAGGGCCCCCGTACCCAGCGACCACTGTCATTGCCCCACCAGGCCACACGGGAGTGGCCTGCTCTTGCCATCAGTGCCTCGGCGGCGGCGCAGCTGGCCCCGTGTCAGGCCGCTACCGCCACTCCATGACCAACCTTCCCGCCTACGCAGCCCCCCAGCCACCCCACAGGACCGCCGTTGTTTTGGGGGCCCACCAGGCCTTTTCTCCGTACAACAAGCCCTCACTCTCTGGGGCCAGGTCTGCGCCCAGGCTGAGCACCGCCAACCTCTGGGCTGGGGCGCTGCCCTCCCTGGGGAACCAGCCCCTCTACCGCTCCAGCCTCTCCCACCTGGGACCTCAGCACCAGCCCCCAGGACTGTCCGCTGCCAGCGCAGCCAGGTATCTGTGTTATGCGGATGGTCGTTTTGTCCACCCGCATGCCTTGTTAGCGGGCTTGGGTTTCTGCTCTTCTTTAGCTGGGAAGACTCCCCCCAAATGCCTGCAGACTCGGCACCTGCCTCGGCTGTCCCTGCTACGTCATCCCCTTTGCACGTGCTCCAGCTCTGCACGTGTCGCGTGGTGCTGAGGTGCCACGCTGTCCACAGCCTTGTGTCCCGGGGAGCCTACCTGACTTCTGGCACTTGAGTGCTGGTAGTTGCCCCATGGGTTAAAACCAGTGATCCTTTCATTGACCCAGGAGAATTGGGCTCTCTGAGCAGTTAAAGATTTTTTTGGCTGTGCTGTGTGCCACGTAGCTGGGGCCGGGTACCTGAGGACATTTCTCTGACTCCGTCTATGTGCCCGGCCCTGAAGTCACAGACGTGGAAGGCTCAGCCTCTCCCTGAGCCCACGGTCTCATCCAGGGAAGGCTGTGAGCCCAGCTTTGGTGCTTAAAAGTTGGTTGAGGAGAGAGCAAAGTGCTGAGCGTGTTGGGGGTGGCAGCAAGTAACATAGGGCAGCTGCTGTGCTGGTACAGTCCATGTCTCATAGGGCACCCTGAGATGATGAAATGGGCCTCGTCCAGACCAGGTGGCACTTTAAAGTGGGGAAACCCCTGAGTGGCCAGTGGTGGGTGCATCTGGGATGCTCAGCGACCTGTCACTGATCAGGGGCCTTACCATCGATTATTATTGAGGGTCTGGGGCCTGGAGAACATTTTGAGAACTCAGAGTGTTCGCCGGGATGGGGGCTGATTTCTGAGAGAGGGTGACCTGGGCGGGTGGTGACTGGATGTGTAGGCCTGTGGCCGCCCTGTTTCCCAGGGAGTCAGCCTCTTGGTGCCACATCACTCACCCAAGCCCGCCCACCAGCCCACCTGACCACAGGGAGGGCTGAAGCGTCCCAGTGTGGCCGAGACCTCCTTGGCAGCTTCTCAGGCCTCTAGTATTTCTTCTAGTTAGGTTTCAGAGGACCCTTCCAGCTTCGATAAGACAGTGACAGCTGTCACTCACCAAGCACATGTTATAGCCAGGCCCTGTTCAGCAG